TTGGAATTAAGAATTTTATTTTATCTTTTTTTTTTTGGACAAGAAAACAACTTTTAGAGGTTACTAAGCTTTCCACCGACAGAATTCGATTAGTGCTAATGTCACATTCACATCCTTTTCCACTTGTCTTTATAAAGACTAATATCAAAGAGCAAGGATGTTGATATCACTACGAATATACACAAGGACATGGAAAATTAATTATGAATCCTCCATAATCTTGTGAAATTATATATTTTAATTTGATACAATTTGCATTTGCTCTCACACACAAGCATATACTTGCGTGTGTATATATATATATATATATATATATATATATATATATATATATATATATACACGCAACCAAATGACTGATGTCTTCCTTATAAATAATTGTTTATACTGTTATATTTTGAAATAATATATTTTTACCTATTGAATGAAATGGTCTCACAATGATATTAAGATGAAAAATAGATTTACCGCGATATATAAATGCTATACATTGGTATTGAATGACAAGAGATGTCACATCATTATAAAAATATCAACATTGGATAACTTTTTTTCTTTTTGCAAAATATAACACTTTTTATATTATTATATTGTTTTTATTAAGAAACTCTTTATTTTTAATTAACAGAATCTATCAAATTTTCAAAACCAATTTATACATATATAATAATACTATATACTTTCATATATATATATATATATATATATATATATATATATATATATATATATATATATATAATAATAATAATAATAATAATAATAATAAAGCAATAGAGTTTGACCAATGATACGGGTGCAATTGCCTTCAGAAAATTAACTTCCAAATATAAAATATAAAAATTAAGTATTAAAACTTAATATAGGATTTGACCAATGAAATTGTTATAAGATTTGAATCAATTATAGAGTGAATAAAAATACATATATTGTACATTTAATTTAGTGCTTATAGATATATAGAACAAATATTATGAATATAGTTTATGATAATGTTATTAAATATTATGTACTAATTGACACTTAATATAAAACCACGTCATTTTGGACTAGGGTCCACCATGCAAGGTGGACTCTAGTCCACGATATAATTTTCCATGAAAACATGGTAGGATACCTGCATGGGTAGCTCAACTGGTCATAGAGGTGAAAAGATGAAAGAATAACCAGGGATCGAGTCTCACCCGTGGCAGTGTGGGAGCTACCTCTCAAAGTGACGGGGGCTCTTTGTGCGCAGTAAACAAAGGTCTAGCCTCTATGGTTCATGTTTAGTTGAGTTACCATGATTTACATCCAAACATGATAGGATGAAAGAAAAACAAAATTTACCATTTTACTAGATCCTAATATAGTCTGCAATTTATATTGTGCACCTGGGCGCGCATTGCATTGTGCGCCCTGATGCAAAACGACGTCGTTTTACATAATTGTATAAATAAATACACATAATTGTATAAACCAACACATATAACTGTATAAAAAATACACATAATTGTATAAACAAATACACATAATGACATAAACAAATACACATAATCGATCACGCCAACTACCTTCTGCGACTCCTAAAATGACGTTGTTTTGGGAGGCGCGAGGCGCACAGTGCTGCACGCGCCGTGGTGCAGGGTATAATGACGGAATATAGTCTACCACTTTAGGTTCATAGCGACTATATAACACGATAAAATCCATATATAAAAAAAATAGTTGGCGATAAAATGCTGTGTAATCCGTGGTCTAAATTCTAAAGGCATCAAATGACAGTACATACGATGACGAAGAAACAAAGTCCCAAACCAACGGCGGACAACCTCTCTCCAAAGCGGTTTTTTTTATAATTGAGATATTGATTGCATCACACGTATCTCCAATCACGTATACGCCCTTAACATCTAGTCTAAATTAACTAAACAAAATCCAAGTACATTGTCGCTTACCCCTTTTAATACGTGACTCATTAATACTTTGTGTAAAAGTTACATTATGTAGTATTTGTTATTTTTTAATGTTACTGACTCTGTTACAATATAGTATCTGTTCATAAATTATTTTTTCAATCTAATGAAGCACAAGAGTCAGTATTGCCCCCATTACGGTTCAAACCCACGATCTTCCATATGAAAGTCCAATCTTAGTGTCATTAGACCACAAGGTCTTGGCTACATTAGGTAACTCAACTTAAACTAAACTAATTATAAACCTCCAAAGCCCATACCTAAGAGTCGTTGGGGAAGAGAAATCACAAGTCACCTTGTATATTCTCAGATTTCAATCCTTGCATGTACACTCTATGCACCAAAGAAATCAACAAACCTTTCAAACTGGATGAAATTAAGAGGGCTATGTTCGATATGGCCTTGTATAAAGCTCCAGGTTCGGAATGGTTTCATGTCGGTTTTTACCAAAGATTGTGGAACTAAGTGTGTAAGACGGTGATCCCTTGATTATTTCAGAACAGGGACCATGCATGTTGGAAGGGCTCAATGACATGTTCGTTACTCTCATTCCAAAAGTCGACAAGCTAGATAAGATATTGTTTTTCAAGCCTATCAACTTATGCAACATCGGGTATAATAAGGTGATTACGAAGGCCATGACCAATAGGATCAAGCCACTGATTGGTAAAAAGGTGACGGGATTGACAGGGCGACTCACAATTTACATTCTCCACTAGCTCTTGGGCAGGGGTTTTTGGGTAATAGGATTAGTATGGCGCAAATTGGAAAACCTAATGTATCATTAAAAAAAAAAAAAAAAAAGGAGAAAAGTAACACATTCACGTAATAGTTGAAGATGCTAGATACATGTCTTAGTGCCCCTAAGAACCAGTTCTTAAAGACAATCTTGGACCCACAAAATGATTAGGACCTGACCCTGCCATAGGCCAAGTGATTATTATGGGTGGCATTGTCACCCGTCACGCAGACTAGGATGCCTACACGCCCACTTCGAATGCAAAGGTCGGATCTCGATACCATGCTCCAAGTAAGGTCAGACGCCTTGCTGAGAGGGTTCCTTAGGCCAACCACTACACTCCGAGTGGTGCTTCCCTTATGTCTCTAGTGTGATTTGATTTTTTTGAAACAACAAAGATCGGATGCAGGTACTTCATCTCTCCTAGTAGTTTCATACCAAGAACCAATTTCGCAAACCCCTTTATGTGCGAATGTAGGAGACGAATTCGCCAAACTAGACGATTATGTGTTGGATTTATTCTTTACACTAAATCGAACTGCCCACCAATATGGTGAGGAGGTTTTATATTCACTCTTGAAGGAGAAGATCTTGAAGATATGTCTCTTATTATGGTCTTCATTGAAAATGAAAGAAAACTTAGAAAGTTTTCCTTTCTCCACAGATTTGACCATTGTGGTGTTTTGGGCATACCTCTCTCTACATAGATTCGATTGAGTTGATTAAGATGTCATTGGAGAGCTAACTTACGTGGCTACATCTTTCTAGAAGAAACCATTCTCAGATTCGTCACCTCGTATATTCCCAGATTCCCATCCTTGCATGTACACCCTGAGCACAAGGGTCTTCATTTCCTTTAATATGCTAAGGTCTCCCAATGACCATTTAGATTTCTAGTAGGACTCAAAACTCCACATTATCATTGGAGCAAGACTTTAAGGTAATCGATTCAATAAAGCAAGCTAATCCCCTAGGACACTATTCTATTTTAATTTTTACTTTATACTAACCTAACATTTTGATTCATAAGAAAATAATAGTTTTTATCCATTTCTTTTAAAAAAAAAAATCAAGACACATTTTGAAAGTTTTACTTCTTGAGAGTATAACCTATCAGACACCTCTCGTCTCCTAAGTACCATTTGGGTAGCGACCATTCTACGTTTTAATTCATTAGTTCCGGAATTAATTTTGAATTAATTCTAATTTTGAATATTAATTCTCGGGTTAATGGTCAGCTGTTACATGGGTTACAATGACTGGTTTATTATCAGTTTAATGCCATGAATTGAATGCTATTTAATCCTTCAACATAAGTTGTTCAGCAGCAGATTTTACGCACAACAAAAATTAGATTTTTCTCTCTCGAAACTCTGCTCCTCCTCCTTTCTTAACTTCCTGTGTTCTTCCCACGCTCTAGTTCGCCGGGTTCTAAGTTTGAGTGCTCAAAACTTAGAATTGTAGTACGTTTTATCATGGGAAACCTATGCCGCAATGCTCCTATCACCTTTAGGAGGCAGCAAATAAGGTTTTAAGGAAATAGTGCAACTTAACTCGTACTAAAAACCTACCCAAAAAATTCATCCGTCCCTGTGGTTGTTTTATCCCAAAAATTCTCAGTTTTTTCAGGAAAAATAATAATCCTTTTTTTTTGTAGGATTATTATTATATTTTCACATATTTCCGTTAACAAATACTTCGTACTAAACTTAATATTATGAAAAAATTGAATTAAAAATAACTGCAGTCAAGTCTCGTCTACCAAATCAAGCAAACAAAATGAGACGGAGGGAGTAGCTAGTACATACTTTAATTTGGTGCACATATGTTGCATACTTGCATTAGCGTACTAAGTTGATGAGGTATAGCTTTCAAATAATATACTTGAATTTAAATGCAAAAAAAAAAAAAAAAGAAAAAAAATAGAATAAGTATACTTATATTCGCCAAGCACATTGTGCTCAATTGGCACCTCTGTGGCTCTCATTGAGGGAAGGTCATGTGATTGACCCCAACTGTGAATCTCGGTGATAAGGTTTTGACTCTTTAAGCTACTTTTCTAGAAAGTATATTGAACAGATACTACACTGTAATAGAGTCGATAATACTAAAAAAAAAAGAAAGTATACTTATATTGATGAAAAAGAAAGTATACTTATATTGATGAAAAAGAAAGTATATGTATATATCTATGATTTGGTTGAAAAATTGGGATTTATGGAAAAAAAACGGATGGTGAGGTGTAAACATCAAGCCAGCACATGAAATGGAGAGTATAGAGTGAGCAATATTGACCCCTTTGCCTTTTCCTCTTCGTCTTGGATCACTCCCAAAACATTGATGATCTCATGAATTTCAACACCCATTCCTCGACGTGTCGCCATATCATTGGCTACATTTAGACTATATTTCTTCTCTCTAACTCAACTTCCATCTCTCATTTCATATTAAATCCAACCTCTTAGCTTCTTCCCTTCAATTCCCTCCTCCCTTGTGATGATCTCTCTTCACAATCACTCAATCTTTAGTGGCCAGTGGCTGTGATTACTTCCGATCACCATCAGCCATGGGAGAGGAAGCTCAGAAGGTACATATATCATCCTCTTCCTTGTTTTTTTAATCTAATTTAATTTATTTGCTTGAATTGGAGAAGAGATTATGATGATCATAAACCTTGATCGATTTTCCAGATTGTTCTTCGTGAGCATAAAATTCAATTCGTGCCTCTAATGTATAGTAGTAACTAAATCAGTTTGAATTGTTTAATTTGCAATGGCAACAGACGACGCTTATGATCCTAAACGTTGATCTTCAATGCTCCAGCTGCTACAAGAAGGTGAAGAAAGTAATTTGCAAGTTTCCGCGTGAGTAATTGTATTTCCATCTTCCAATCAATCCTTTTCTCTCTTAATTTGCTTTATTTCTACGCATTCTGCCTCTTTTTTTTTTTTTTTTTAATTCTGAAAATTATTGAGATTATAAATTCTGAAAATTATTTTCTTTTATATAATAAAACGTTTTTAACTTATTATTATTATTATTAATATGGAGAAAATACAGAAATTAAAGACCGGAAATTTGATGAGAAGGCAAATAAGGTGTTCATTACTGTGGTGTGTTGTAGCCCTGAGAAAATTCGTGACAAATTGTGCTGTAAGGGATGCGGGGTAATCAAGAGTATTGAGATTGTTGAGCCTCCAACGCCCAGAGCTCCAGAAAAGCCCAAGCCACCTCCTGAAAAGCCCAAAGAGCCTGAGAAGCCCAAGCCGCCACCCGAAAAGCCCAAAGAGCCTGAAAAACCCAAGCCGCCTCCTGAAAAGCCTAAGGAACCCGAAAAGCCCAAGCCGCCTCCAGAAAAGCCCAAGGAACCCGAGAAGCCCAAAGAGAAACCCGCTCCACCTCCTGAAAAGCCCAAACCGCCAGCTCCGGCTCCGGCTCCGGCACCGGCACCGGCTCCTAAACCCATAGTACCAGCACCGCTACCACAACCGCCAAAGATCCCGGAACCCGAACCCGTGTTTGTGGTGCCATGTAACCCATGTTACCCAGCGCAGCCACCCTTTGGGTTTTGTTGCGGGTCATGTGCCCAAGGGATACCCGGTGGACCATGTTATGGTTGGTACGGAAGACCGCCGCCACCGCCACCTCCGCCGCCGCGGCCATGTTATGAGCCCTTTTTCGGGTGTCGATGTGGGCAGTCCAGAGGCTATTATGGATGCAGATGTGAGTGTAATAACTACTACTGTGAATTAGACAATAGTTCTTGCTCAATCATGTAATCGCACCGCTCCACCCGGCCCGTCATTATCACATAATATCGTGGTTTACGAAGCATGATCGTGGCTTTTGATGGGACATCTTGCCTAATTGCACAATTATCTAAAGCTAAGCTAGCTTTGGAATTATATGGGTGTTCTTTTCCCAAAACTTGAAAATAATTAATACTCCGTAGTATATATACTATACAGTACCTCTGTTATTGAATCTGTTAAATAGAATAAGGTTAGCGGCCGGAATTATGGTTGCTAGACTATTTGTTGTACCAAATATACAGTTGACAGAATACTGATTTTCACTTGCTTCTTTTTTATTTTATTTTATGTCAGTTTGTTGTATTTCATTTCAGTTTTGAATGAATCAGGTTATTCTGCTTGGTTATTTAAAAATAAAATTATATCTCTTTTTAAATTTTTTATAATAAATAATTTTTTTTTAAAATAAATACATTATAGACATCAAATTTTAAATTAATTAAATATATATGTATTATTTTTTGTTATAACTACCAATTTATTTATAATTTAATAATAAGAGTAATAAAGTGAGGTATATATTTTTCATCCACAACACTGAAGTCATTAATTCTTTTAATAGATTTGTATGTAGATATAGATTTGTAAATTATAATAGGTTTAAACTTACGTTAAAAATAATGTATTTTTAGTAACATAATCACCTAATCATGTAGCTTTTCTACGTTATCATCATCACATCCCGTTCTCCATCAGTCCATCTCATCATACATTGTACCACATAATAAAAACTATTCTTCATAACTGTTTGGTACATGTAATAATTTGATTTAAAATTTTTTAATTAACAACTAATATTCTAGGTGGAAAGAATTTGGTTTTGATAAAACTTGTATATTTTACAAAGTATATATATTCCTTTCTAAGTTGAATACAAAGTATATATATTCCTTTCTAAGTTGAATCTTTTAAAAATTTAAGTGCATATGACTTTACAAATATTCACTTGATATTTTGTTAAAAATGATTCTTCGAAAGTATTTAGTATTTATAAGAAATTACTTTACGGAATTTATATATATAACCCACACAAAATTTAACTCCTTGTTTTAAGATTTTATATATATATATATATATATATATATATATATATATATATATATATAAGATTTTCCCTAATAATATATATTATATATTAGGGCCTTAATTAAGTGGTGCAAGTTGACTAGGCTTATTAAGTGGTTTGGTTGGACTTAATAACTAGTAGTTGTTAGTCAACCAAACCCTGTGCCTAATATAACCTGGATTGATGGGATACAGGATTATGGATTAGATAGCACATTCAGTTACGGTACTCAGACCGCTCAGTAGATACCGATACACCATCTAGGGTTCTGAGTCAGGTCTGAGACAAAACATAGCTGACGGTCTACCGTTAAGAGGCAACACAACAGAAACATCAATTATGGCTGGAGATCAACACGGCTACGCTTCCGCTATCATACGAGGTTAGGTTTCTCGTATACTATGGTACATATAGTTAGACTATTGTATATCTAACATTTGGTATCAGAGCCTTTATAATCTCTGCCTGGTTAATTGTTTTGCCTAAAACAACATTAATTTGTTTTATATACATTGAGTTCTTGGTATATATTTTGTGTATTAATTCTTCGAAATATGCATATATCTATTTGGTTTTATAATTTGTGTATATTCGAAAGAATTAACATGGACTGCTGAAATTGAATTTTCATCCTTAAGCAAAATTTTGATTTGTTTTTCAAAATTAATGGATCTAAATTACCTACTGCCTATAAGCTATTGCCGGTTTATTTTTTCCGGCAACTCAACTGCGACGGCGGAGGCGCGATTCGGGCTTCAGGCGGCGTCACGACGGAGGACGACGGCGAACGTTGGCTCTGCGAAAGGAGAAACGGCGAAGGTGGGCTGGGTTCCCGGCCTGCTGCCGTAATCTCCCCTTCAGGCGACGCTCGATCCGGCCGTCGCTGCCCCTCGTCGCTTCAGACCTTCAGTGGCGTTGGTTATGGCTGATGACAGTAGACCGACGGTGACGAACGCACGGCGCGAAGGAACGTCGAGCGCTGCAGATCGTCGCCTGGCCGGTTGCGTCGCGGCAGTCGGATGGAGGAGGCGTTGGCGTTGTGACGAGACTTGGTGGCGGAGGCGGAGCTGGAATTGCCCGGTGACGTCACTGCTGCCTTCATCTCTTTCAGGCGACGCCGGCGACTATTTTTGCTGCTGTTCGTCGGAGCTACGGTCTCCTCGGCTGCTAGGGTTCATGGCTGGTTAACATGAAGATGAAGAAGATGATGGATTATAGAATATGGGCCGGGTCTGGCCCATTTGGCCAGACCTGGATTATATTTTTTAAAAAATATAATGGAGCCTATTTTAGTATTTCGGGCTTCTTCAGCTTTCACCATCATATTTAGACTTCTTCTAGTTAATTTTTCAGTTTAATTCTTCCTTAATTAATTATTAAATTATGATTCAATTTGGAGCAAATATTAAGTTTTAATTTGCTATTTGAATTTTAATTTAAAGTTAAGATGCAAATTAAATTGCCTCGAGTGTTGCAATTTATTTAAGATATATGAGTTAATAATATATTAATATGCAAATCCAAGCATGTTACGTATATATATAAATTATCATTATAATTATACATTCGTAAAAGCATGCATTAAGGTTGGATTTAGCATATTGTTAACTCATAAATTCATTTTTAAATATCATTCAATTTTGGATCCGTAGGTCAATTTTAGGCATTATGACCTACTAAAGCAGCTTGTTTGGTTTCCTCTTAATTTTGAGAACATTTTAATTTTATGTGTCTCTGGGACTTTAGAACCTATTTTGAACAAGCTATTTGGGACCTATCTTGGGTCATATTAAAGTATGTACCCCACCATTTTGATTGATATTTTAATAATAATTATAGCCCCTTATAACATGTTTATTAAGTTTTATTTATTACTAACTACCATTTTTGGTATTCATCGTTTGTAATAATATTAAGTTTTGGGTCTACTTCAGTGTTAGACCATTTTTCATCCATGTTATAATTCACTTGGGCCATTGAGGTTTATGAGCCTAATTTAAGTGATTAAATGCTATAATTATTGTCTTAGCCTGTTTAGAGACATTAAGGATTTAATTGTTATTTTGGCATTAAGAACTGTAAATATTGTTTAAGTTGATTAAATTTTTTAATCTCTTAATAGTTTTTCAGGGCCTTAATAATAATATTAAGTCTTTAATTTTATGGCAAAAACAATATAGTTGGTATATTGTTTGCACAATGGTAATTTTGTTATTACCTTAACTTCAGTCTCCCTTAGTATCATAATAGTCATGATTAATTATTATGTGGTAAATTGAGATTAGTATTTGGCATCCCTTAATTACAGTTTTGCCTTTATTGTAATTATTATTAATTAGCATTATTAATTACTGTTATTAAGTTTAGGGGCTAATCTCATTTTATTACTTTTCATAATAATTATCATTTAATGGTAATCTGCTATATTTGGTGCATTGGTATGATTACCACTTCATTTTACATGACTATTAATGTTGGTAATTAAGTCCTACCAATAAATTTTTTAACGTACCATTGGACGCTGCGTCGACACCGATAGTGAAGATTGGGAGAATTCTGGAGTTTTTTCTTCTCTTGTGGATCGTCGTCGTTGTTAGCGCAATGGGCATATGCGGTTTGCATCATTAAGGTTAGCCATTAATTATCTTTTACGGTTATTTTTGATAATTAGTGCTACGGTTATAGTTAAACCGCTAATTTGGACTAGTCACATATTTTATCTTTAGAAAAAGAAAAACATTTAAAGGTGCATTACCATACTTTACTTTGTAGTTATTTTTAATGTTAATAGTGATTATAATGTTACTTATTGCTATTAATAATTAGTTAATTAATGATGACATTAATATTGTTATGGTATTCAGTAATGCACCTTGAACTGTTTCCAAATAAATTTATGTGACAATACTCCAGTTCAGAAAATAATTTTCTGGACATTAATATTTTCTGGACTTCAAATTTTATTAAGTTTTCAAAATTTTATCCGAAAATATTTATAAGTGTTAGCGGTTTTGACCATTATTTTTCCATATTTAGTCTCCTACTTAATGTGATAATATTATTATGGCTATTTATTGCTATTTTGGTTATTTGCAATTTTGCCATTAATAATAATAATATTATCAACTGGGTTATGGAGAGTGATTTTGAATCAATTTAGTAATCTTGGAAAAACATATTTTCTAGGCAATTGACTTTTGCCATTAATTCCATAATTCATTTAGTTCTTGGAATTATGATTTTAGTTCTGATTGCCCATGTTTGGTTAAGTATGAATATTTGGTATAAATTCATATTCTTTAGTTGGTTCATACTTTTTAGATTGTGTTATGCATTCGATCACTTTAAGTGCATAATATTAAGTTTAATTATGCAATTAGGGTTTGTGAGATTTTAATTTACAAATGCTACCATATCCTTTTGGTTTGATATTGTTTGAATTTGTAAATTCAGTTATTTTTCATAAATTTGATCTTTATGCATTAAAACATTTTCCTATGGGCTTACAGTTTAAAAAAAAAATAAAAATTTAAAGTATATATTCAGTACATTATTATTCAAAATGTTGGGTCTCTTTTGGTTTGGACTCATCGGTGTTTGAATATTAAGTTTATACTTTAAAATCTCATATTGTAAATTGCTTTAAGTTATGCAATTTATTTGGAATATATGAGTTTAATGTTTAATTTTATGCATATTCGTCCTAAGCATATTATTATGTTTTAAATTATGCAATTTTATTATGCCTTTAGCAATGCATACTTTGAGATGGAATTATATTAGTTCCTATTTAAGTTGGACTTGTGCATAAACTTTAGTTGCGGTAGTGCCTGAATTTAAGCACGTTTAGTCCGCTATTTTTAGTTCACCATTTAAGCTTTAATCATAGGTGAACCCTACAGTTTTTTGGTGTATACCCTACAGTTTTTTGGTGTATACCCTACAGTTTTTTGGTGTATACCCTACAGTTTTAGGTTCATACCCCCAAACAGTTATACATTAAGTATATATGAATCGGTGAGACATACTAGTTTTAATGGCCATGACTTAAGAACATCTTGTGCCACTAGTCTCTTTAAATTGATACTCTATTTAAGGAATTGGTTTTCAGTGAGACTTAGTCTCTAACCACCTTTCCTTGGAGTATATTTAGATTTTCCCATCACAATCTGGTATAATCTGTTTGTCAAAATTTTAAGTATTCCTTGCCAA